GTAACCCCAGTACGTTTGGAGTACCTAAGGAAATTTCCTTGAAGGTTAAATGGGAGAAAGCTTTAGGCTTTACATTAAGAGACAAATCTAGGATATGTCAATACCATTTTAAAAATGAAGACATATTACACACATGGGTATCCAGATCAAGGGACAAGGAGTCATGTAAAACACTAAAATCATAGATAAGTATATATACAAAATAACAATTTCAGATTCATGACCATGCCCATTTTGTAAAGTATTGTAAATTGCGAAAACGATGTAATACAATTATATTAATATAGTACAATAGTACATAAATATTCCACTGCTGTTATAGAGCGCTGCAGAATTGTTCTTATCATAAGAGTAATATTAAAGAAATATTAATGGAATACATGACGCTCGTTGAGCAACCATTATATCTTTAATCGTGGGAATTACGAATTTTCCACTGTTAGCCCGCAGGGTAGCTCACTCATCGTGCAGAAATAGACGGAAAGAGCTCGAATCGACAGTCAACACGACAAATATTATCTTGACACCGACAAGTAGTGAGTGACGTCAAGTTTTGGTAACACCCAATGGCCAATATTATATCGGCGTTCGGTACACAAGTTTACCACTACAGTCTACAGTATAACAGGCAATTTTTCAATGTACACTTTTTCTATAGTATCGTGCATTACGAGATCAATATAATAGTAAAAATTATTTATTCAATACTAAACCAAAATTCAACGAAAACTCCACGAGGTCCGAAATGTTTTATAAACACAAATTATGGATCTCGGAGCGTGTGATACATTTTCTACATTTTCTTAAAAAATGCCTTTACTTAAATAAACCTATTACCATTTAGTAATCAGTTCTATCACTAAAGACCTCTGGAAATATTTTGCTAGTCCAATCGGTAGGATTCAATAGTAGTATAAATTCTACCTACATATTATATTTTGAAAGAAGATTGTGTTATAATTTATAGTTAAAATATATCATTATATTATTATTAACAACCACACGCTAGGTAATTAAAGTAGGTACTCTGCGAGATCCACATTATATCTATTGATTCCAATTCGTTACGAGATCCGTTTAAAAAAAAAACAAATTAACAATCTCACACACACTAGGTAGGTAGTTAAACGTCTGTGCAAGATCCATATTATATATATTGATTATTATTTTTTGAATTTCGTTACGAGATCCGTATAAATATATCATAATATTGACAACATCACACACACTAGGTAAATAGGTGTGCGGACAGGGCGAGCCGGTCAAGCCCAGGCTCGACCTGAAACTTTTTAGGGGCATAGTAAAATGTGCGTATATATTTAAATATTTTATTATAATGCTTATATTATAATAATTTGTTCGTGGAGATTATGAAATCTTTAAAAATATCAAATTAACAACCTCACACACACACTAGGTAGTTAAGCTTCTGTGCGAGATC